CCGTAGCAGTCGACTTGGTCAAGTGAGAAATAATACCCCTATCTGTGCCACAGCTGCATCACAAGAACAGCGGTTAGGTATGCATCAGTGGTTTTCCACTGAGACTATTATATGAATTGTATCAATGTCTTGAGCTTCTGTTAACTATAACCCATCACCTACTTGTGCAGGTATATGTGGCATGACTGCTTCTCAGAAAACAAATATCTTGTATATGTTTAAAAATATATTCTGACTTGAGGTTGATCTTTCACTTACAAAACCACACGAGTAGTTCGGTCAAGTCAACATTGAACATCTGATACTTTCTTACCTCATGGCCTGACAAACACACAAAACGGAATTTGAACAGATGGCTTAGGGTTGAAACAACCTCTCACTAGCCAAAGGCTAATATCTGTCCATGTGAATATTCCCCCTGGTTTGCTTCAGTCCTCAGCTACCTCTGTTGGTGTGGTGCACACCAGTTCATCCACAGCCCAGTCGGCGATATCCACCATGAATATCAGGCTAAAGAAAAAACAAATGGAAGTGGGTAGGTTATATTATTAGGTCTAGGTTTTATGCTGAACATTTTCCTCTCCTGTAAACTTGAAGTCCATTATTTGTCTTGCAGGCAAAAGTGAACTGATTGTAGTGAGGTGTGGGAGAAGGCAGCAGGTCTACTGTAAACTGTGCCGTGACAGGCTGAGAGGTAGTGAACATCTGTCCAGCCATTCCCACCTGTCCAACTATGTGGTATGTACCTGAATACTGCAAGTCTTGTCGGAGAAATCGTCCCCAAAAGCCAACAATACAGAGATGTTGTTTTTAATTTTTCCAGAAACAAAAGTTTGGACACAATGCTTCCACAATTACACTAGAGAAGATCATTCCATTCTTGGTTGCAATTGAGAACATTTTGGGCGCTCAGAAGGGTCAGGTAACATGAAGGCGTTTCATGAACACTGACTCTGTCAACACATGTACTTCTGGTAAACTGAGATGATGGGTAATTGATGGTTCATTTTTAAATGAACCATCAATTAGAATTTTGTTGTTAATTATTAGTGCAGTATTCAAATTTTGATCTACGCAGTATTTGTATCAATGATTTTGCAATATTCCAATCTTAATGTGTAATACTTGATTACAGTGAGTGTTTTTTTTTACACATTTTACATATTTATATATGATGCAGGATTTTTGCATTTCTGGTAATTCATGGCTTATCAAAGAAACCTTATACTTTCCCACATTTCATCAGTTAAAAGTCTGTGTGTGTCTGCGTCTGGGTGGCCTTCCTATTAATTCTTTGTTTAAAGTGCTTCAATGAAAAATGCAAATGTTTTCATTTTGAACATAAATGAGCACTAAAGTCTTTCTGTCACCCAGATAGTGGAAGTGACGAGTGATCTGTATGACGCGTTGGCTGCTCTCTACACGCATGACGGTAAAATGGCTGTAGTGTTGTTGAAAATATCAATGTGTTTTAACCGTCAAATAATCTGTTTCGAATCTGGTTGTGCTTTTGTCAATTACTGGTCAACAAGAAAATGAAGAAGAAGATTCTTTTGGCCTCAACCTTGCAAGCAACTTTTTTTATGGAATGTGGCTTTAAAACTAACCATTGTGTTGCATCCTCATACCCAGCTCTTAAGGAAGTGGAGATGATGCTGCAGCATCAGATGAACCTACAGGTGCCCTCCGTCTCCACGACTAATAATGCAGAGAAACTGCAAGCTGTTGTTATCAGTTCATGTGAAACTCCATGCCCAGATGTTGGTAAATAACACTTTTAAATTTTATCTGTAACAATATTCTTCACATTTTGAATATAATTTTGAAAAAATGTAAGCCTTTAAAAAGTATTTCTATTAATTTTTTATTTTTTATTTTTTCAATTTGTCTTGTCAGGGATGTTGGTGCAACTGAATCAAAAACCTGCACCTGAAGGAAAATGCCGTCCAAAGCAGAAGGAAAATGATGTGAAACAGTCGACCGTCACGCCAGGTGAGATCTTTGACATAAGTAATACCAAAATCATCGAGGTTTTCCATGTCTCAGTTTGAAACAAAATTTTGAATGTTTTATGCCTGAAGCATGACACATCTGTTCACAGCTACACTAACAAACCATTATTATTTTGTTCTAGTCACTGCAAAGTGGAATAGGTTTGAGGCCCAGGCTTTGGTGGAATTGAACCCTCCTCACAGTGCTGGTAAATACCCACTGTCACTGTGATAACTGGTATTTCAATGTCTTTATATTGTTGTTACATTGTTGTTGCTGTTGGCTTTAATTTACTAATTTATTGTGGTGGAGAATATTGTGTGACATCTTGTAGGGGCCACTCGACTTTTTTTTTTTAATAATCTAATCCTGTCGTGGCGTGCACGGAATGTTATTGCCAGGCACAGGCAGTAACATTATTTGCTGTTGTTTGTATTTCCCATCAGTGCCAGTGGTGAACTCCCAACGTGCAGATACTGTTGCTGCTCACACAGAATCTCCCAGCAGTACTGTTGTCCAAACCCCACTGACATACCAAGACACGCAAGTGTCAATTAAACTTGAGGACACTTATCTGGTAACATCTGTCAAAGAAGAGCCTCCTTCAGATGATCTGGTGAAAATAGAACAAGAGAACCATCCAGGAACCAATCTCACGGATGAGAACAGTTTTTGGCTCGGCCTAGTACCTGAGCAGCACTATGTGTCGCAGGAGCTCCCGAGCAGATCATCAGGTAGGCAGCACATGTTCACACCTCATGAATTATGCCTGTAAATGATTATGTCACGACTTTTTAAAATATTTTTGTCTCTTCTCACAGGTGATGAAAGTCAGATGCATTCATCTGAGAACACTGTAGAACTGGAGACGGATGTGATTATTGGTGGGTGTGTGGCTGAATGAAGAACAAATTCTTACCCTATGTTCTCACTCAGCAGATGTGTTTGGATTAAATTATTTGTGCAACTACTCAGTTTTCCATAACAAATCATGATCCCAAACTGGTTTGCACCCCAGACATAACATAATGTGTCCTTGTGTTGAACCAAAATAAAGGTTTGAACAGGTGTTTACTTAGAGCCACTGTGTCCCAACCAGGTCGACATTTTGTATGGAAGTGTCAAGGACCATCTGGGAATTCTTTCTACTTGTGTGAAAGCTGCAAGGAGACCATTTTTACTTGTCACATCGCACACATGTCCAATCCTGTTCACTGGTTGGCATACATAGTGAGTGTTTTCTGAAAAGCCAAAAACATTTGTACCTGTTTAAGTTAATTAGTTGGGTTATACGTTTTAATATCTGTTTTCTAGAAGTGGCAACATCCTTCCTTTCTGCATTTCTGGGATAAGGATGAGTACCCTGTTGAGGTGAAACAGAGAGCTTTAAGGAAAGCTGCCATCGGCTTCTCGAGGCGTGAGAATTTTTACAACCCAACATTGCAGGTATCGTCCTAACCTAAGAAATGATGAAGTTAGCAGAATTCACAGCCATTTTTACAATAATGGAGGATAAGAACCATAAAATAATTTTATATAATATAGTTTCCGAGGTAAAATCCTCACCATGCTGGTCAACATTAGCAGTAACGTTCCTGGTTAAAAACAGACAAGTTAGAACAGCTGCATGATGTGACTTGAAATATAAATGCCCTTAATGGTAAACAATGAGGAACACAACATAAAAACTGAAAAGCTTAATGCGAAGAGGTAACCATAGATTTTACTGGAATTAGATGAAGTTTGAAGACATTGCTGTAGTGCAGGGGTCCACAAACCCTCCCCTAACCATCCACCCTCTCTGCTCTAACATTCTTTAAGGACCACTGCAATAACCAGTGTTCATTATTTTTTGCTTTAATATTCCTGATGTCATCTGTATTTTTTTTCCCTCTTATGAAGCATGTTACACTGGGACCACTCCTGTATGATTATGTGAAGGCTGCTCCATTCTTTGAAGGTAACTGCAGATTGAATGTACAGCTTTCATGGATTTGTTTTTTTTTTTTTTTTTTGAGTTTTTTTTTATCAAAGTTCCTTCATTAACCGTCTCTGCTGCTGTCTTTTTGCAGCATTAAAAATAGTTCAAAGTAAGATGTCAGAACAGCGTCTTACCTCTTCAGAGTCACAACGAAGAGTCAAGTCCAACACACCTGGTAAATGTTTGGCTTCTTTGTATATAATCCAGTATTTACATCAGTGGTTCTGTAGTATCTGATACTCCATGGGTTTGATATGTTTAACTAGGGGGCCCTGCTTTGTAAGGGTACACTCAGACACGTACATAGATTCACACAAAATCATTCGTTTATATATTATTAAAGGGGTTTGTGCGAGAGTTGCTGAAGTCAAAGCAATTATTTTAATATTCTTGCAGAAAGGAAACAAAGTCAGTGCAATACACGGTTGTGCGCAGCTGAGCTGTCTGTCTATGAGGTGTATTCAATAGCTGTTTATAGAGAAGAAAGGCGGTAGGTTACACACGTTGGAGTTTCCGTTTTTTTAGCCGTCCACCTACAGCATTCACAGTCTAAAGGTTGTGTTGGTATCAAACTGCCAGTAGCAGGAAACTCCTAAAAGAGGAAGCAGCTACTGTGGACACAATGTTCTTTCTACAGTACAAGGTAAGGGTTTTCTAACATGTATGAACACCAAAAGATAAATCGTCATTATTAATTTCATTACCTAAACTTTGAAGTTAATAATAAAATATATAAATATCATTCCATTCTCCTGGGAAAAAAAGTCTCTATTCTTAAGTAAGTCTAGCTAGTTTTACCGACATTTCATTTTTCTGCATTTCACACCTCCCCCTGAAGTGCAATGGCTGCCCCCAAGGGAGGTGTGTCCCACACTTATTCCTCCAAACACAGTCTGTGTTGGCTTCTGATTCTTTGGACAGGCACCAAAATGAAAAAGTCATGAATCTGTATATCAGCCCGCTGTCTCCTTAAAGGTTGACTCCAAAATTTCTCCATCCACAGAAGGCCCCCAAAACCACACATCATTAGCCGACTCACAACAAAGGCCGGTCTCTGGTTTGGAAGTAAGACTGGCAGAGACACACTCCAAATCCAAGTCTGTTCAGAGTCCTGAAGGATGTCAAAGCTCACTGTCTCAGGAGTCTCACTGGAAAGAGTCTTCACGAAGCAGGAAGAGGCTCAGTCAGGCTGCGGCTAAAACACTGATCTGTGAAAATAATCTCCACGAGGACTCTCAGGGTCTGTGGCCAGCCAAACGCTCTCAGAGCTTTGCTCCACAGCACAGTGGGACCAGACCTTCAACAGCCTCTTGGTCCAACAGTTGTCTCCTCAGCGCTGTGCCAGCCCCTTGTCTCACAAAGAAAAAGACAAAGGATCTGTAGCCAATGTTGAGGTTGTTGACATGGACTAGTTTTTAAGTCTGATTAAGAAAATAAAATCTGAACCAGACCAGACTCCTTTACATAACAGCGTGTCCTTTAGAGACGGCACCACAGGCCTCACCTCACAGACACATTTAGATTACCCAGCCAACGATCCATCCATTTACACTCGGGTGTACCAGCAGCAGGGATATAGAGGAGGAGGAGGTCACACAAGTCAACGTTATCCCAACCAGGATGCAGCACAGCTTCAACTGCAGTCATACAGTCATTTTTAGTTGTGTAAGTACATAGCGTCAAGTGGCCATTAATGTTGCTTCTTCTTGGCATCTAGCTCATCCACACTGCTCCAACACTTTCTTTGTTACCTCATTCCAGTTAAACTCTAGAAGAATGTCACTGCTGTTATGTCATCAGAGTATTTTGATCCGCCTGGTGTGTGAATAAACATGCCTAAAAATGTACCTAACTTTTTTTAATAGTTTGTAATATTAGATAACAGACAAATGTTTAACAATTTTGTATTCATTACTTTTTTTCAATGTCAATTCAACCTTTGAGCAGTGGTTCTGTACAGACATACTTTTTTACTTGATTGATTGATTTAATTGATTTAAAATAAAATCTTTTTTAAATTTAAAATAAAGTATTTTGTCTTTTTGCCAACTTGTTTGACCTGAAATAGAAAAATGAATGCTTGGCTGTAACAACAACAACAAAAAAGCTATAAGAATATATTTATTTGGGGTTAAAGTCCTCTCCACTGAAAGTGTTATTGCAGCGCCATCTAGTGGTAATATGCAGCCATACTTCACATCACTGGTTGTGGTTATTTTGTAGTTTAAATATATGCTATAGAAATACAGTTTTACAGTATTTCTACATACAGAAATACTAAATATATGCTATAGAAATACAGTTTTGGAGTCTTTGCACACACTATTTGTAATAGAAAGTAATTCTGTTGTCTCTGTGGTTTATACCAACAGGATTGTCAGCTTAAAAGTACATCATGCATCAAGTGTGCTTCATTTCCATTAACCCTATCAAAATGTGAATCATCATCGTGTCTCCAGGCTCAGAGGTGATGTTGAAATTACAAAATACAAATGTGTTCATTTCATCTGAAAATACAATTAAACTTGTATTTGGCTTTCAAGAAACTTGTTAGAGTGTATAAGTTGTTTCGATTCCATTTTAGGACAAGAAAAAACCGTCCTAGTTTATTAATGCTTTTTTTGTTTTGTTTGCGCAGAAAGCAAATTACGCCCATCTAGCGGCTGAATGGGTGAAAAACTCCGACCAATCCAAGTTGAAGTTAAAGGAGAGGAACTGATTTTGGAAATAACCCAGTTTGTATACACCGTATGTCTGAAACACGTTTTTAAACAATTAAAATGCTAGCCGCACAGCAAATAAGAATATAAATTATTTTATTGTGGATCAGTTTATTTTATATTTAATTAATTGATATATTTACTTATTTCTTGTAAATAGTAGACAATATACAAAATCTTTGAAATTGTTATATCCGCTTGCAATGAACGCACCATCGCTGGGGCACAGTATAAACGTGCGGAAGCAGTTATAGTTTCTACCAAAGCGAAGCCTGCAAACAAAGCTGCCTCCCTTCTAATAGTACACTGCAGACGACGGTGGTATCTGGTTAAACACAGCAAAAGTGGCTTTTGTCCTTTACACTTGGATGGTAAAAGCTCTGCAGTGACCGCCGTGTTTGCTGTGTGTCTGGGGGGAACGTTGACGCTGCCTCTCCTGGTGCCTCACTCCTCCGAACCTGGTCGACATGTCAGCTTTCTCCGAGGCGGCTTTAGAGAAGAAACTGTCCGAGCTGAGCAACTCCCAACAAAGTGTGCAGACGCTGTCGCTGTGGCTCATTCACCACAGGAAACACTCCAAGACCATTGTCAACGTTTGGTTCAACGAACTGAAAAAAGGTACGAGCAAAACTGCCTACTCGGCTGCAGCACAGTTAGCTGCTAACATGCTAATGCACTTGAATGTAGCATTTAGCTAATGGTATTTAATGTTGTTTTTTAAGTGTGCATTCTGAAATGAACCTGTTTAAGTTGATGTTTTTGTTTTAACATGACTATTTCACAGTTCAAGCTGTTCGATATATCAAAGCAGAATTACAATTGGTAGCAGGAAAAGAGAATAAAATGACATCCTTGTAGCCCTGCTTTTAATGGTATACTGTAGTTAGGCACGTCAAAATCCAGACACTAAGAGATTGCGAGAGCTTTTTAGGAATTCCAGGTTTAAAAACATTAGGACTGACAGATTTTATTTGGACAATTTTGTTTTTTGAATTAAACATTCTTATAAAAATCAATTGCTTTAAATGATCGTTACATCACACCCATTCAGTCATATACAGTATCTCTTGTAAATATACTTTCCTTAATAACGGGCATTAAAAGGCTATAAGAAAAGTAAATTTTGATTAAATACTGACTGGTTCTCACTAGACCAACATGATGGAGAGCACATGAACATTAAAAAAATGAGACATTGGAGTCACATAACAATATTAACTGTACAATGTTTTTATGAACCGTGTGAGAACAAGCCATTGTTTCCAAAGATCTAAATATATACTCAGTTACTTCTGAAACCTGTGAAGCATTTTAATGGCTTTCTTGTATACTTTTTATGGTTTTTAATGTGCATTAAAATCTAAATGGTTGCAGTATACCCTCTGAAATGACGAAAATGTAGACTTGTTTATGTTGTTATTTCTGTTTGATCATCCAAATTCAAATACAAATCCATATGGGGGGACACATAAATTAGCACGAGTCAAATTTACAATGCGTTTTAATTTTTCAGTTATGCTATTGCATATTTTTCCTGGGCATCTTTCCATATAAATAATTCCATCCTTTAGATTAGTCACAAATAAAACAGGTATAAAACACATACATTTAACTGCTGTTATTTGTCTTTGTGCTCAAGCGATAAACAGAAGAACATTTCAGTTGCTTTATCAAATACACCTAATTAATCATGATAAAACTGTGATATACAGTATATTAAACCAATAGAGTACTGATGGAATTTTTTTGGCTTTCTTAAATAAATAAGTAATCTTACACATTGAGTCATATGGACTTGTGGAGCTAAGCAGCTCCTCTGAGGTCACTAATGCGAGCTGACTTCTCCACAGGGGGCTGCCTAACCGTCTAATAAAATCTCAAGTGGATGTTTTATTTTAAGAGCCATGTCTAAATACTAACAGGAGTGTGCAGCTGTGGGAATACAGCTGACATGGTTCTCTGGGGGATTTTATCTTTGGCTCTATTGTTGTGTGAAACCTGTCTACACTTGTACACCATTGACTTAACATTGTTGGATACACTCATCCAGCGTAGCTGCGCAACCACAGGGATGAAATCTGAATGTAATGTTGTCTTGCTTATTCTGTTGGACATCTGACTGCCTGCAGCTCAGGTATCGCGCAAGTTGACCTTCCTCTATTTGGCCAATGACGTCATTCAGAACAGCAAGAAAAAAGGGCCAGAATTCACCCAGGACTTCGCACCAATTATTGTTGAGGCTTTTAAACATGTATACAGGTGAGTTCCCTTTGACACCGTTTATATAGATTTATTTACTGTCAAGGTGACAAATATGGATTTGTATAAATGAAAATATGATATAATCTACCAAGGGTGATCAGTACAGAATCTTTTTAAGATGGTTATGTTTTTGTTCTGTGCAGTGAGGGAGAGGACGGCTTTAAAAAACAACTGGGCCGGGTTTTGTCCATCTGGCAGGAAAGAGCCGTGTACGAGAACAACCTTCTGGATCAGCTCTCACAAGTTCTGTGTAAGGTCACATATTTGTACAGGCTCTCAGTTATAGCATAGCGTCTGTGTATTTGGTTGTTATTAGAATAGTTAAACATTTGTCTTTTTTTTAAACTTCAGATGGAGAGAAGAAGGCTAAGAAGAGGTCCTATGAGGAGATCCGACCAGATGATGACGACTTTGCCTCCCAGAGCTCACCTGCAGAGCCGCCGCAGGTGCTGCTCTTACACACACATACATACACACACACACAAGTACATCTGCTACTACTACTAGATATAGTTTTCCTTCTCTTCCCAACTGTAATACAAGAGGATATGGAAGAAATATCTAAAGTATTTGAACAAACACCTCTTTGTCATCAATCCTATGCTAACCTTCTGTTCTCTCCCACTTGCTCCTCCTCCCTTCTCAATTTTACCTCAGACCTCTGAGTTAATTCGAGCTTTGCAGGAGCTGGAAAATGCGGCCTCTTCTGACTCTGTGCTGCGTCAGAAAATCTCCTCCCTACCCGCTGAAGTGCAGGACACTTCACTGCTCCACAGAATTACAGGTAGGGACCATGTGTTTTTTTTTTAATGTTGTTGATACTGTTTACACAGTGAGCACTTTTTCCACATTAAGACTTCAAACATCACATGCACATTTACAGAACATTAAATGCAGAGTTTAAACACTGACCAGCCTTCACTCAACTTTGCTCATTGTTTATTCCCTGTCTTTTAGATAAAGAATCAGGGGAGCGACTCTCCCGGATGGTTGAGGACGCCTGCATGCTGCTAGCAGACTACAGTGGTCGCTTGGCTGCCGAGGTAGACGACAGGCGGCAGCTCACACGCACTCTCAGCGTCTTCCTGCAGAGCCAGAAGGACGGCTTGGTCCAGAATGAGCAGAAGCTTGAAGTGCGTAAATCTCTTTTCTACTTTGACTTATTTATAATGATTGTGTCGCCTCAGCATCACTGCCATTTAGTCTTTAGTGATCATTTCATTCTAATAATCTTCAATACATTTTAAACATGTTCTATTTCAACATATTACTCCTTAGAGTGTTTAAGTGCACAGCAGATTTTACTTTGACTGAAGTGAAAATGTACATGACCACTGGCTTTATTCAGTTTTCCCTTGCGTCCACATTTGAACTACCTGGGTGGAAAAATTAAGTTAGTAAGTCTTAACATCAGAAAAAAAGAAAAATACAACTTCCTTAGAGTGATTTTTATGGTGACACTAACTTTCCAGCCTTTATTCACAGGATGGCAAGAGGATAAAGCATCTTCCTTTGGAGACTTTTGTAATAAAAATCTGAAAATAAAAAAATTAAAATTCTGTTGTGCGTCCTGTTATTTTGCTCCAGAACTTGGCATTTTCAGGAATGGATTTTGTAGTTGCCTTAATAAAAGGTCAAAGCCAGAATATTCGATGTAACAGGTTTTAATTTCTTTTAAATATTGACATATTAAATCTCTACAACTAAATAAGGATTGCAATTTTAAAGGTATTAGGTAAGACAAATAAGGCTCCTTTAACGAAAAAAGAGAATTTGTTTTAATAGAGGGCCAAATTCACCTTTTTGTGAACTGGGTTTGGGCCACAGGCCCTATTGTAGGCTATGGGAAAATGCAATAATGTTCACTAAATTCAAAAGGCAGGTTTAGACATTTTATAGTATAAATTTGTTATTCTCAATACAGATGCTTACACAACACTGATAAAAGTTCAGTGTGACTAAAGTCTGAAAAAAGTAGTGATGCAGAGAAACATGCTTCAATAGTACTTTATTATCTCCAACTTTGACAGAAAAAACACTACTGTCTTTTTTAACTTCTGCAAATTCTTTAATCTCAAATACACACATCCACAGAGTTTTATGAAATATATAGTTTATTTGGGTTTTTTTTGCTGTGCTTTTAGTGACATTAAAAACCTTATTTCCTTTTAACAACAAATCATTCTGTCAAACACAGGAGAATCAAGAATAATTCATTTTATTTTTATTTTGTTCTTACTGATTTGAACTATTTAAAACATCATGTCAGTTACTTCTCCCTTTATGTTTATTGATGCCACCCTGAGAAGTCATTCAATCAAATTGCCCAGTACTGATGATTAAGTTGCTAACGCGCCATAGCACTGCACTCCTCTGACGGCCCTCTTCTTCTATGGCCTTTTTTTTTAGGAATACAAACGCAAACTGGCCAGAGTGACCCAGGTCCGAAAGGAGCTACGAATGCGTCTGAACAATCTGCCTGGAGGTCTCTACAACTCTTAGGATTGATGTGTGACTCTTCTGCCACTGAAACATCTCGACCCGTCGCTCCCATACCTGATTGGTGACGATGCCGTTGACCTGTGTTTTTGAAAGTGTCTGTGTGTTGGCTCGCCTTTCCAGTTTAGTCATAAGCAGAGACTTTATCCACATGGCTTTTGTTGATGAAACTGTTTGCTTTTTTTTCACTCTCTTCTTTTATAGTTAGTACACTGTATATGAACTCACGTCTGTCACACGATTGTCATGCTTCGGTCCCTGCTTCTCTGACCTTTTACAGCTTTAAAGTGATGGTTTATGGGTAATGCTGGTGTTATATTTTTCTATTTATAGTATAGTGACAAGATAATGCACCAGAGTTAATCCCCCCCAGGCTGTTTATTACCTATTATTTTCAGTATTTTCAGTTGTTGTTTTGAGTTCCTCCGTGTAGTTCTTTACTACAGGTTGTTTGTTCCTCGACCTGACTTTTTTTTTATTTTAAATGTTGTGTGATATGACCTTCATGTGCTTCTAAAATTGTTAGAGAACCATATTTTAGGTTAAAATCTAAAAATCGAATGTAATTATAATTTACACTAAGCCTCTTTGTAAGAGAGCTGTAAACGTGTACATAAATGCCATACTGCATGTAAAGATGATTTATTCAAGTCTGTATGTGCTCACAGTTGCTATCTACAGTATAGGAACATATTCAGTATGGCCCGTTGTCAAACTACAGACCCATCTCTGTACGATATCTTTACGGTTGCCCTTTTGTGGACAATCCTGGACAGAGTGACGTAGCCCATTTTCTCGTTTATATGTTTCATATTATTTTATTCTCAAGTCATCATCATCCTGTTGTTCTGAGCCTCACACAGTTTCAAAGTGCCCCGTTTTCCTCGGTCTACCTTACAGCAGATATTTGTTTTTGTAGCTATCGGGCAGATAACTCTACAAACCAAATAAATGAAACACTAGACAAATCTTTTGCACTCCAGTCGTTAAGTCTGTAAAATATAAACTTAGGTATTAGGGCAATTATACAAATGTAATGCAGGGGGCATAAATGTTTTAAAGGAATTCCCTGGTTTGAATATTTAAATTTTGTTTAATGGACATTTGTTGTTACTGAACTCGGGTGATAAACGAAACTGCTTAATTTTGAACTCAACGAATGTACTCGATGTCACTTACTTCAGCCTCCAGTCCAGTAGGTGGCGATAAAGCAAAACGGCATTGTCGTTGGTTCATTAGCTTGTATGTAGTATGTTGGTCGTTCGAGGAAGTAGATATAAATATTAGACATTTTTAAGATAACCATAGCTTTGACACGTTTGGTGTAATAAGTAATACTATTAGTCCTTTCCTGAGCAGACGGCGGTATCTCTGTAGTCGAAAACTCTTCAAGATGGAGAGTATTGAAACGCCTTACGATGTTGATGCTGACTTCATTGTTTGTAAGGTGAGCTACTAAACACAGTGAACACAGCTAATGATGATAACCGACTAGTAAAACCCTTCGATGATACGAACAATTTAAGATGTTCTGTTTTCCTCCAGGTCTGTGATAAATCCATACGGGGCGAAACGTTGTATAAGATACATCTGACTACACCTGGACACGTAAAGGTACACTATGCCGTGTGGTGACGTATAATGTATATACATTTTTTAACCTAGCCATACAAGTTAGTGTCTCGTTGTACTGGTAACATCAATCTTGTTAAGTTGTGTTTGTTCACAGGTCAATTTTTTGGTATCACACAGTTTTCTGGATCCCTCTTGTCAGTGGATTTCATTATTACATGTTTTTTTTGTTATTATACAATGTTATACATTGAGCAAATCAAGCCTGGTGTCTAAAGTTACCTACAGGAACTTTGGGTTTCGTACATAATGTAGCAAATCATAAGGTTTGTTATACTTGAATAATGTCATTGAGCTTCACCTGCGTTTGAAGATGTTCTGACAGATGTTCTCTGTCTGCTTCTTATGGAGAATTGCATGGATTTTTTCCAGCCCCACACAGGCAACAACCATGTGTGCAACACCACAGAAGGGCACTTAAAGCTGCCCCCTGCTCACTTTGGTGATGGGTAATGTGCAGAGGTCACATTTGGTTGTGTACAGTGGTGTGCTGTGTCACGATAGTGTCACAAGAAGTTCACTTCCCTTTCCACTGGTGAGTTGTTTTTTCCCCACTGATTTCAGTTTTCGATATTTTCGGTAAGTGTGACTTACCAATACCGACTTGGATTTTATTCACTTGTCATAACTAATTATGAAATATTTCCCACTACAGCTTTCATAATATATTGTTTGATAACAGGAATGATTAACTAAATGGAAATGGGTTCCTGTTCTTGATCAAACTTCCTGACTATAAATCCATGTGCAGTATCTCTGCATAACAACAGATGTGTTTGTTTGTAATTAGTGACTTTCAGAAATGAACCTATTGCATGGCACTGGGTGCTGAGAGCTATCAAGAAGGAGAACTGCCAACACATGCAGGGGCAAAGTGCTCTTTCCTGAGCATTAATGGAATTTTTTGACGAACAAAAGCATTGCTGCTTTGTCACCTGATATAAGATTCCTCTTCTCATCTTTCACATGAACTGCAAACAAAAGCTTGTCTGACTTGAAAGAGGTCTGGAAACACTACGTCGGGAAAAATAAAAATGTCGACTTGCTGTGGCTGGCCATGTTTGGGTGGAAGAGTGTGTTTTGATGGTTGGATTAGGTTGGATTTGTTATTTTGAACACTTCGTGGTGGCTCCCAATAATTTGCTCCCACACATGGAAAGTTCTCCATCTTCTTGTGTTGTCAGCAGATCAGCTGCAACAGGTGATCTTGGGAACCTTCTTGTTACATTTATTACAAATAGGGCACTTGGAGCTTCCTTGGGTCGCTGTGAAGAACTTCCAAGCAAACAACATGTTAGCTTCAGCTCTTCTTCTGTACTCCGACACAGAAAGCATACACAAAATGACCCTTAATCATAATATACCAGTGCTGTTTTCTGGGAAAACATGGTCTTTGTCATTGTGGTAAGGTTTCGGTTTGAAGCTTGCAAATTTTGCATTAGCGAGACTCATTTCTTTGGAACACTAAAAGGTTCCACTCAGAGTATTATTCCTAAAAAGGCCGCAGGAGAAAGGAGTTATCATAGGGCTCCAGTGCCATTGTTGAATTTCAGTCATTTTACTACACCTCAAATGAGATATAGTTTCCAATGTGTAACTTTTTCTCTGTTTTATTAGTGATGAATTCAGTGACCTGTTCAACTAGCACAGGTCTACTCACTGTATTTGCTCTCTTTTATTCTGGCAGAAAGAGGGAGCCAGTGTCACCAATGGTAAGTAGATGTCATTTGAATGTGTTTCATCTATTTGTCTCCGTTCACATGAAGGTGGTAATTTTTACAAGATCCTTGTCAAATATTGATTTATTTAAAAAAAAAAGACATGCAAAGACTTTGTTACAGCAACATACAGTAAAGGCAGGTAAGCAGTGTTTTCCTTCAGGTATTCTAAGGGGAATTTCAGTCGTTTTTTTGACCAGAATGAATGAAAAAAATCTACCTGATGATCCAACATCCACGCTCATCTCATGAGTGCTTTTGTAGGAGCACTCCCAGAAGAAACGATAATTTGGTTCAATTTCTTGTCCTAATGAATTAAGGCTGAAGGACGTCACAAGTGTTGGTCATTTGGTCAAGCTCTCTCACAGCTCTGTTCACATAAGATATTCAGCTCTTGTAAGAATAAGCCAGAATGTTTTACCCAAGAAAACACACCCAGGAGTTGGACCAGAACAGGACACGCCTCACACTTCCACTAATCGCAATTTTGCCTGATTGATTTCTATAGGCAACTCAGAGTGGAAGTTGCATATGGATACATACAGCCCAACTATGAAGCCAAGTGTGACCTGGAACAGTCATCCAGAGAATGGGCCAGGCCAACAACTGCAGACTAAGGGGAGCCCACAATTCAGAAACCCAGAAAAGCCCACATCTGCTGAAAGTGACCCAACTCTCTGAAGACCAGCGCCCAAGTTTCTCCTTCTAAAGGAAACACCTCCATCTGAAAATGTGGGACCTCAACAAGTCATTCAACTACAGGTCTAAACCACTATTCTTCCCACTCAATGACAACGGGAACACCCCCAAACCTGGGGCCTGACCTTAAGTCTGGATTCAAGTCACCTGAGAACCTCTAACCAAAATTATGCAGACGAAGCTACCCAGACACCTAAGCACTATCAACATCTTTGACCAAACCAGACCACACATCCCAGACTACTGCTAGAGAAGTAGACACCACAACTGCAGTGTGGCCAACACCAATCAATCAGGTGGTGAATCTGACCTGAACCTGAAGATATTGTGAAGTGGCTCACAATATGTCTGGGGGACCAGCGTTTGCACAAACTCTGACCCTAAAATGTCCTTAACCTGCTGGAATCTTGCAAACACATGGATGGCAGGTGATTATATGGAACATCCCAACAGGAAGACAATCTGATTTAAACATCATATGTGCTATGGTGTGCTCAAAGACAACGGTAAATATGTCATTGTTTTCTGCATCTAAAAAAGCAACGGAGACCCCACTGTCCAAGGCTCTTAGGTTGTGTCTGTTAAAATCTTCCAATGCTGTGGACAAAGACGGCTGTGATCCAGCAAAATTTCCTTTTTTTTTACTAGACAATTCACAACAAACAGATGAGCACTTTTAATTCCTCATTACATATAAGTTTAAAATGTGTAATGTTTTGTATTCTCACATACGATTTTGCTACTAACTGCTACTGCTTTGGTTTCCCAGGAGGTGCAGCCAAAAGGGCCTTACCAGAATTTAAAGACATTTTACACTACCTGGATTACTTGCAGCTAGATGAACCAATCATTGGTACGTAGTCAGTTAATTAACATTATTTCCGCGTCTCTATCAGATAAATATTCTTTCCTGTTTTTGTTTCCCAGGTTTGGACTATGTGCAGGGTGTCCCTTCTGATGAACTTGGGAACCTGAAGTACTTATGTGGACTGTGTCGCCTCACATCGAACCTGTCAGAAATGGTCCACCACTTGATTGGACGGAAACACAGACAGAGATATGTGGTAAAGTAACTCCAGGATAATTCAGCTTCACTGTATTGTTTTCTTTTGAATTAGAATACATTGGTAAAGCCTTAAACTGACCTTGTCTTTGTGTAGGAAGTGAAACGACCAGACTTGGTAACCTGGGAAAAGAATATCTCAATTAACCAAGCAGGAAAAATCATTCGTGCCAAGGCAGAAATAATTGAGCGTCAGGATGGACGAGGGGTTCCAACTGTGGGTCATACAGATATATTTAAGCATCCATACTGAGTTCTATTATTAGGAAATATACAGCCAAATTAATCTTGAGAATAACTTGTTTATTTTCTATTATAGCTACTGACAAAGAAAGCAAATGAAAATAAACTCAACAAATCAAAAGGTGAATATTGGTTTTATTAGGCAATAAGAAGTTAGTATATCTTTAAGGTAGTTTTGATTGAATGATAAAAATCCAATCTGAATTAGTATTTCTTTGACTAAACTTTACCTTTTGCTGATTTAGCTCCTGCAAAGCAGTGGAAAACCTGGGTGCAGAATCCGGCACATTCTGAAAAGAGTGCACAGACACACTCACGAGGACGCAGGGAATATGGAAATGAATTCTCTCACACAGGGAGGTATAATCCAGAATTCTCTGATGTACGACCGTACCCACCTGAGGAACCTCACAGTAGCAGAGAGAGATTGATGTACCACCCAATGGGTGACTTTAGGGATGACCATCACAGGGAGTATAGGGAAAATGCAAACAGACACCAATACATGGATCCTGATAATGGTATGAATTATGGTGGAGATTCATATGGAAGGACAACATGCGAGCCAGGAGGTGACCAGTATCATCCTGAGGAGATACCATTACCTCATGGACAGACACGACATGTATATGAGTATGACCCAGAAGAGAGTGCATCTTACAGTAGACCCCTCCCAGACAGAGATCCTCTGAAGGAGTTCTTCTTTGAGGAAGTTCAGCTCCAGAAACATTCAGAGTATCACCACTCAAAGGTTGAACGCCAGTGGCCGCTAAATGAGAACTATAGTAGACACATCAGTACGAGTACAGCGAGTACGCAGGCATTGAGAGAACCAGAGGCTATGAGGAGCTTCTCTGGTCAAAGAGGGAACAATACAGCTGCTTTGTACAATATTATCAAAGATTATCAGAGAACAGTGAGGGAACCGAGTAAAGAGTCTGAAACAAAGGGAAGAAAAGTGGAGATAACTAAATCCATGTCTGGAATCCCAGAGCCTTTTAAACGCTTTCTGACAGGAGCCAATAGTGACGAACAACCTGGGACAAGAAAAAGGAAAAGTCGCTTCTCTGATGCCACAGCAGAAGAAGAAGTGTCAATGTGAGTAGTCTTTGAACTGGAAATACTAAAAATGTGGGCTCTTGAATTGTTTCAACACTTTTGCTTCTATTTGTCAAATTTAATTCTTCATAGGGTCAGGAATGAATATGAACCTCCACATTCCAAGTACTCCAGTTCCAGCAGACCTGGATCCCACAGTGACTTTTACACAGGGTCACAGGTACGTCGTAAAGTTGTTATGACACAGACACACTGTATATAGATGTAGATATTTTCAGGATGAAACATTAATATGTCAATATGTATTACTGACTAAGTGATTACAAAACTGTTGTGTGTTTTTTTTAAATAGAAATCACAGTATGCCGAACAGTTCCGTGGAGAAGAGTCTGAGCCTGTTTTCAACATGCTGGTAAAATATTGAATTGTAATTCTGCCAGATTAATTAACACAGGGCGCCTAATCACTTGAGCTTTTTCCCTGTTTTTTTCCCCATTCAGAAAGGTGTGGAAATTGAAAATGCAGAAGAAGCAGAGTTCCTCAAGAACAAACTCTGTGGCCTTTTGAAAGAATTTAGGACCAGAAAATCTGAGAGGACCATGGTAAGAGTCTCTCCCTGACAGGTTTTCTAACAAATATATACTTCTTTAACTTTCAACCTTTGCGCACAACTAAGTCTTGTCATCCAAAAAGAGTCAAGGCAGTACTATTTCAACAGCATTTAGATCCAAGGATTTACACATATGTTGATTTAAACAGGATCAAGAGGATCTAGACCTTAGACGATCGCAAAACCACAGCATGAGAGATGATCACAGAGGACCAGACTGGAGACGTCAGGACTGTCCACCCGAGGAAAGGTTTCAAGGAAATGCTGTGCGAGGTGAAAATTCCCATAGAAGCCGTTATGAAGGTATAAAGACTTGAACCTGAAGAATTGCTGTCTCAAAAATGTCTGTAATCTTTTTTTCTCTGATTAGGATTAACAGGACAGACTTTTGATAACTGCAGTCTTTCTTGTTCTTTATTGTTCCTTCACTTTTGCTACAGAGGTTTTTGGAGTCCATGGAGCATCTCGTCTACATGGCTCTTCTTATTTAGATGAACCTTCACACTATTCTGAAAGGTTTGAAGAACCCATGCCCCCTCGTGGGTACCATCATGGTGCCAGGGAGTATTTTGACTCCCACTCTCATCCACCTGCCCAAAATCTGGAAGGGTCACATTATTCCAATAAACTGGACAAAATAACATCCACCCTCTTACAGCTTGTGTCTCGGAAGTGATCAGTCGGACTTCCATAAATACTATGTTAAAAAAACAATTTAAATACTTTTGTAAAATAAACTTTAGGAAGCTATGTCTAATTTACGCTTTTTGTTGAGTAATTTTTCATACGTTTTGCTTCTGAAGTTTTATTTCTGATTAAATAATTTGTCCACAATTATATTTTCTTTCATTTTATTTTCTCCTTAACAGTAATACCAGTTACTACTACTACTTATCCATAATAACGTAAATAAATTTACATGTAAAACTATCGCACACTGCAGGTGTTCAGTTTCATTCAATAAAAACAAAATAATCAACCTATTGATGTAACGTGGTAAACCACTACCGGTACCAGTGTTACGCGCTAGAGAAACGTGCTACGTCATCGCGCAACTGGGTAAAACTTCCGGTTCCAGTGAGAGACGCCATCTTGTTTCCCTTGCAAACTAAAAAAAATAAATAATACGCCGAGTGAGGACTTCTCTTCGAACCGTAAAACAAAGTGAGTACCCGATTTAAATTTGTGCTGCGGGTAAAACCTGACCTTAAAATGAATCGACGTTGTGTTTAATAAGAGGTAATTAGTTAATGTTTTTCATTTGCTGTTCTTGACCAATAGACGATTGTTTTGGAAGATGAACACAGGCGCCATTTCCCTCCCCGCTCTCTGAGGCGCTTATTGGTGGCCCGCTGAAGGGATCACGGGTGGTCAGAAAACTGATGCTCCGTATCCGCCATGTTGGCTCTCGTCATAGTGTATGCCAGACGGATTGGCTACTTCTACCGGGGCCCCGAATGGCTTCAGTTGCGAAAAGGAACTTAGCCCTAAAAACCTTGATTGGTGGAATCTAGTGCGAGGTTTGATTGGTCTGAAGGACAGATCCAAACGTTGTCTTTATTGGTTAGACTGGTTCTTCCTAGCGTTGCAAAGCTTTGCAAAGTTTCATTTGATGACAGGACTCGTTGTCCAGTGGCAACTTAAATTACATAGACCGCGGTTGGTCAACGGAGCTAAACAGCAGTCGGCAGAATGCGTCTCTTAACGCTAACATAAACTGATGTGCGTTAGCTTGAAGTGACTCGAAAACACGTCATGTTTGCGTAACTAAATGTGTGTATATTCAACTGCTACCGTAAGGGAGAGAAGCATATAGATTATTTCAGTCTGTCGTTACATGGCACCCGTTATGTTCACAGCAGTTAATACGTTGTTTTCCCTTTATGTAGTAGTCTTGCAAGTTGCGCCGTATCTGTTGTCTACACTCCGCCGCTCTATTGTCCTTGGTTCCTTGCAATGTATAATGTAGCGATCTTATTAATATGCAACACCATGTTCATTGCATTTTAGTCACTCTTAATTACTGTTTCAGTCAAAAATTATTTCAGTTGTGCATGTAGATGTGGACCACAACTTTGTTTGAGTCCGGTCATCGATATTGACAGTGTTTTCTTAAATTTAATCTGCATATTCTGTGTTAATAAATAATTAAAGATAACAGAAGAGAGGCAACAGAACAGTCACAACATCGAGCTGCACTTAAGCTATACATACATTCATACATTTATAAAGATATATATACACAGAATAATGGTTTCAGTAGACAGTTGTTACGTAAATTATTATGAAAATAGAAATTCTCACAGTGTTAGACTTTAAAAGCTTTTCTCCCCCCCAAACAAGTTGTTATGAATACAGAGGCAGTGTCCATGATTGTATTGCTATATTATTCGATATCACTTTTTAATTTTTTTACTTTATAACTTGTCAAAACAATGTCCACAACATAAGTAATGCATTCAGGGGCTTTGCACACTACTTATAAGAACTGCACCAGAATATAGACATGCTATATAAACCATCCATCCTGTTTAACCTCTGTATATATTGTATAGGTATATTTAACCTATGCATATATTTTCAGTTGTTTCAGGGTCATTGACTGACAAGGTGGTACATAGAGTGTTGTGTGTTCAAGAAAGTCAGGTTCTGTCTGTTTTTCTTCTAAACAAATGTTAGTAAGAGCAAACATCTCCCAGCTACGGGTAGCAAGGGTCATGGGAAGGTCTCATTTGTATGGTGACCTTGCCAGGTGTTTATACTGAGGCATTTTGGGTGGCTAGAAACACGTACAGAGAAAACTGCTGTGGCGTCACCATCCTGAAGAGATTAATCTTTGTGCTGCTCCCATCTAATCATTAACTAGATGGCTGTAGTACCAGCTCCAGTCCCAGTGCTCCTCACTAAAATAGAAAAGAGAACATTTAGCTTTGTTTCTCCTGAGTCTCTATCCCTGTCCTTACTCCACTTGTTCCTCCCCTCCCATCCTGTAACAACTCTCCTCTCTGTCCTTCTGCATCCTTCCGGTTCCCCTCCCCCTCTATGTTTTCCATTGATGGTGCAGGTTTGCTCATTTTTTCTTTTGCGGAAGCTTGTCATGCTTATCACTTAAGATAAAAATTACAATATGAAGCATTGAGCGTTAACCTATTTGCATCACTATTCTTTTCACATGTATTTAGTTAGAAAAATAATTCACCAAAATATATATATATATATTTTTTCCAAACTATAGTCTGCTCTTTAGATGCAGGGTTTAAGTGAGAAATCACTGAAGGAGTCAGGTGTTTTGTCAAACTTCACATTTTGTGGTGTCCTGAGTTTGGATTTCAAAGTCAAATAATGTTTAACCTTTCCAGACAGCCCCATATGAGAACGACATTGTTTGACATTGCTGACATTTTTTTTGATGATCTTTCAATTGTGAAAGTTGCTGTGAATGTAGGTTTTAGAGTTAAGACAACATCTCTTTTGTTTATAGAAGTTCACCCATATCTCCCAAGTCTTGTTTATCTGTAAATAGGACAAGAATGGAGAGCATTGGCTTTTCCCTCTTATTTGCTTGTTTCCTCACAGCTCACCAGATAACAAATCTTTTGGTTCAAAATCACAATACTCTATTTTTGCACATAAATCTCATTAGTAAAAGGTGGGTTGTGGCTAAATGTGTTCTTTCATGTGTACCTGTGGCAGTGAGCAAAGATGAATGTGAAAGCAAGGACAAAAGGTGCATGTGTGTGTGAATGTGCATGTGTGTCGGTGCAAACACTTGAGAAATAGAGTCTGCCTAGGATGCCGTTGTACTTTAAATCATGTGGATGCAACATGCGGCATCCACCCTGACACTTGCTCTAGCCAGTGGCAGCCGTAGTGGCTGCCTGCATCACTGTGTCGTCAGCCTGTGAAGACAGAGAGGAGGCGGGGAAGAGAGAGACATTTAGTTTGACATTGTAAATAAGCAGAGAGCAGTTGTCAGAGAGCAGCCAGTGGAGCTTTTCTCATCTGTTCAGCAGCAGGAGAGGCAGGAACCGCTAGAGGACAAACCATGCTGAGGCAAGCCACTGGGAGCACACATTCACTCAAACCTGAGAGAATTCTCCACAACTTTATTTGTTCTTTTTTTCTCACCTATTCTCACTTCTGCTCTCTCTTCCTCTTTTCTTTTCCCTGACCCCTATCCTGCAGCTCAAGGTAACTTAGAGCAGGAAGTTGGCTGTCGGTAAAAGTGGGTTGGGTGAAGGAAATGGGAGGAGCGGGGGACATGTCGTAGTTGATTGGTGTGAGCATGTGAGTGTTACCCAATGGTGTAGGAAGACCTTGTCTTTTATTGGGTGCAAGTGTGGGAGAGAGGTGGGCTCACAGTGGGAGGTGGGGCTTGAGTATCATGTAGCATGCTAGATTGATTACTCTTGAATGTTAAAGGGGAAGGAGGCTAGAGATTTTAGTCTGTGAGTCGGGAGTTGTCGCTCCACTGTTTGCCTGCTGTTGAGCTGTTACCTGCTGCTGTGCTGTCTTTCTGTTCTCCCCCACCCACTTCATTGCACTGGGCCAGGGGTCAACTCAAAGCTAAATGCACAGGTCACTGGTTAGAAAGAGGAACAGGGGTTACAAGAGTGAAAAAGACAGAGGTCAGTGAGTTGAGGGACTTTCTCTGAAGAGAAACAGAAGAGCCAGGGCTAGATGTTTGTGCAGGAGGAGGTGGAGGAGGAAGAGGACACTGGGGGCTGCCGAAGGGCAGTGTGTGAAAGGAAAGAAGGGGGAGGGGCAGAGAGGGGGTTCTCTTCCCTGTATTTGGGGTTGAGAACCTCTTACTGTTGTCCAGTGTGTCCAGAGAGCTTTTGTTTTTGGTCCAGTGATATGATCAGTGGACTGTAGGAAGTAGAGAAGCTTGAGAGAGTTTCTGTCCACCTCTGTGCCTCTTCCTGCTGCTGCTGCTACTTTCAAGGAGACCTGGAGAAGGCTGTCTGTCACCCTGTGTTCTACTCTGGCCACACAGGGTAGACCATTCAACATGAAGGGCACAGGGGTAAGTCTGCTCTGTGAAAACACACGGGGAAGTTGTTCGAGGTTTTTTTTAATCTTTTGCACTTTTACGTTTTGACATCTGTCTCCATTGCGTTTGGTGGGGATGAGACAGGGTCTGTCCTTTACAGCTCCCCTCCCCTTTCCTTTTCTGAAGTACTCTCCTTGAAAGGGTGAAGGTGTGCTTTTTGTTTTTATGAGAGTGCACTACAAGTGCATGTCCTTCACTTGATGTTGATGCCGTCAGCAGGATGTAATGAAGAATGTAGTTTGTTCCACTAGTTGCCTCTTGTTTTGACACTGGACTATCACATGGAAAATAACTTTCATACTTTCTGATGATAAAGTGCAAATGATTATCATTGCACTTATATTGTACAATTAATGTTATTTAATGAAATATACTGATAACATAAACCCATGTGTCATGTAACATAGTTATTTACATATTTAGTCCTGACAGAATATGAAAGAGTCCTAAGAGGATTTTGATCCTGTGTTGTTGGAGTCAGGGGTTTCCAGTGGTGGCAGTTACCCCAGGGTCCATCAGGTGTCCTTCCCAGTAGTGCAAACCTCCGAGATAGGACATCGCCAGCCTGTTAGCTTCAGGAAAATAATTGAAATTTGATTTGATCTGATCTTTTCTGACAAGATCTTTAGAGGGGCTGTGGCTCCTCCTTTTCTCTCCTATCTGATTCCTAATTGAAAGTTTCCATTGGTGCCTTTGACAACACAAAGTAAAATAGAGAGAGAAAGCGAGAGGGAGAAAGGGGGAGAGAGATAGTGTGAGAGTCTGAGTGAGGGACACTAAAAATAAACCTTAAGTTGAAGCCCTTGCTGCCAAATCCCAGGGCTGTCTGCTGTCTGCATGAGATTTGAATGTCATTTGTGCCCAATGCTGTACCATGGTCACACAGTGGAAGAACAAAGTAAACAAAATAGGCAAACCACTGACTTATTACTAGGACTTCCTTCTTATCAATCTGGTGAACACATCCACTTGCACTTATGCTCCCATGACCCTGTTTGTTTGTATGTGCACGGTTTCACTCTGGGCTGCGTGTGTAGAAAGCCATGGAGAGTCAGATGTGTTCCAGTATGTGATACGCAGGTAGCATAAGCCCTGCCTACTTTGAGGCTGGGGACTGGGCCTAGCATTAGATGAAGGTCACAGGAATGTGAGACTGGCTCCCTGCAGTCTCTCTGTCAGCAATGGGAAGGAAATGTATGAGTAGATGAGAAGAGAAACTCAAACTGGGATAAAGAATGTAGTAAGCGTGTGACGTTTTCTCTCAGCATCTTTGTGCTTTAGGGACATGGCAAAAAAACCAACAAAACACCAGATCACTCAAGTGCTGCAGTGAAAGTTGTAAAACCTGTCCTTTTCTATTGTCCCTCCTTCTGCCCCTTCTCTTTTTCATCTCACTCTCTTTCTCCCTCCTCCCTTTTCGGTTGGTCTCTCCTCTGTTGAATGACCTTGAGAGATCAGTGACTAGCAGTTCCTGGAGTTTGCCTGAAACAGAACCAAGGGCAAAGTTTGGAGCCATGGCCGCTCTGCTGGTTCAGTCCAGTGAGCTAAGCTCAGGTCACCTATAGCACATCTGTCCATTCTCCTCGAATTCTGAATGATTGAAAGAAACATCTATGAAAATGTGATATTTTTCTTCACACAAGTTAATCTATAATTCCCAGTCTAGAACTTGTTTTTTTGTTTTGCCTGAGTAAATCATTTACCCTGCACGCTGTAACTGCTGTGACCGAGTTCATCGAGGTGAACACATTCTAGTGACAGCTTTATGAATTTACTTCTGTTGATACAATGGTGCTGAAAAGTCTGGTAGTAGTTTAATTATATTTAATTTAGCACACTTTCCTAAATATATGTTTGCATGTTCACAGTGAGTCTTTTCTGCTGAGGTGGTCTTTTCAAACCCACACTGATACTGACCTTCCTGCAGAATGATATAATGATCCTGCAGCACTGACCAACACATCTGGTTTCATCCAATGTGGATGTTTTAAACTGCGTTTTTGCATGAAACAAAGTCGTTGCTTCTACTCATCATTGATACCCAGATTTAGTAGATAATGTTCACCCATCCACCTTGGTGCACTTCTTCAGAATTTGTGCCAGGAAAGCTGAGACCTTCCTCTTCAACACATTGACAATGTGATACAGACACTTCAGTGGAAAGTTCACCCTTTTACCTTCCTTTAGCCTTGGCCAGCTTTGACTTTTGAATCACCAGGCCTAAATGCAAAGTGAAAAGGTATATGGTGATGCTATAATGTTATTTTCTAGTCTTTAGCACATTTTTCTGCACGTTCTATTGTCTGATCGGGTCCGTTTCAACAGAAATTGAAGGCTCATGTAAAACTGTGTGATGTCAGCAAGTCGGTGGTGTAGGTGGCCACTCGGTGTGACTTGCCAGTAAGCGAAAGGTGAGGGAGGGAGGAAGGGAAGAGAGTAAGAGGAGATACAGGACGGGCCGGGAGAACAACATTAACGCTGATTCAGCTGCTGCAGGCAGAGCCACATTGACTTTCCTGGAAAAGTTGGAAGAGAGGGGGTGGGCAGGTGGAAAGTAAGGTAGAAGGAGGAAGCGAAAAAGCACACCCACGAGTGACACAGAGGGATGGATAGAGAGAAGACAGGAGAAGTGATCAGGGGTGCGATATATAGCCGGTGAAAGAGGAAAAGTAATTTGCCACGAGGAAAACGTATACACAGAGCTTTGCTAGAAGGAAACCCAACACCGGCGTCTCTGTTGTGATGACCTAATGAAGGACAACAGGACTGCAGTGAAAAGGAGAGATGGACAGTGCAGAACAACACTGTGTGTCCTAATATAGCAGTTTAGAATAACACCAGCTCACATCAGCTCATCCTGTTCATAAAAAAATGATGCAGTGTAATATTGAAGAACGTTAAAGGTGTAGTCCGTTTAAAACAGTCATCATCAACAGGTCATAAGAAGTGGTTTTAACCTTCAAGTTGATTATGAATTTAATGTATTAAATTACATAATGTAAACCATTTGGTCATTCTCTTCTATCAGCAGCTAGGCGGTTTACAACTTGTATAATATGAGCAATTAGCTTTTCTGAGTTTGACAGTAAATCTGTCATTGTGGACAGCCAATCTTGGTATTTCTTATGCTTGATAAATCCCAGACCATTGGAAATATAGCAGTAATACAGTAACCTGCATTTTTACCAGATGTTTCTGCTAACTCCCCACTCTCTTAAACTTTAGCTGTGGTAAGTGTGTGGCGATGTTTTTACATTGAAGATCACAAGGTCATAGAGGAAGGGGTTGAGGGCGTGTTTGATTTAATAACAACTAGCTGTTAGTCTTTTTAAATGAAAGACAGGCATGGACATTAGAGAAGAATGAGACGAGGCAGTGGAATTTACTGTAGCTTCAGCTCTACTGCCGCTAACAAGTGTTGTTTTCTGCTGTTTCTGGACCAAAGACAAATGTTAGCTCAGTGTAATCCTCATCTCTGTCTTGTTTTTTCAGTTGATTTGCATAATTATGGCTCTGTAAAAATGCAGAGGGACTATTTAAAATGTGAAATAGTTTTTTTAGGTCTTCCGTTTTGCAGAAATTGAGTGAACTCACATTTCACTGAGTCATTTTTTAGCCCCATGGAATGTTGGGATTGTTCTAGAGCCTGCATAATAAAAATTAACCTTGAAACAAAACCGGACGTTGAACTGTCAGGCAGAGAGAGGGAGACATTGTCAAGGTCAGTCTAGCTTGGCATGTCATAGCTACAAGCGGCTTGATTGATTTTATATAAAGCCACCCCCACTGCCACTCTGTCACATTGATTTAGATTATTCTGTGGAAAAGTGAATGACAGAGCGGGGTGCAGCAGTGTTCCTCCTCCTGTACTGTCACAAAGGCCAACAGAGCTTCACTCTCCAAAATCAATCAGGTTGGGACTCTGTGTGTTTTTGTATCAGTCATTTATGTGAGGCTAAAAGTCAAAACAGTCTTTTACCACACGAACCTGGAGCTGGTGGGTTTGAAAGGCTGTCTTTGTGTGGTGTAGCTCTGTCAGTCTGAGCAACGCTGAGTAAGAAAAGAAAGAGACCGTAAAGAGACTCCCATTCTCCTCAAAGAGACCGTAAAGAGACTCCCATTCTTCTTACTCTTTTTTTTCTTGGTCCCGTCATGTCTCTTTCCGTCTCTCAGTTTCCCTCTTTCTTTGTGGTTTGACCCACATAGATAATTTGCAAAGCAGTCTGGCGGACATGTCTGTGCCCCCTCTTGTTAAAGCTTTTGGCACTTTGTCTTATCACTGGATAAATGCTAAACTGGACACTGCCCTACCTCCCTGTCAGCAACACACACACACACAAACACACACCATCACTCAACCAGTGCTACACACCCGTGTCTCCCCCTTCATTATCCTCTCCCCGTTGTTAAATCCACTGAGGTAAGGAGAAAAGGGTGAGAGTGAAAAAGTGCAATCCAGACACACCAAGCTTGGCGTGCCCAGACAGGCAGGCCAATATTCCTCTAGCAGATTCCTGGCATGCCATAGTAACGTATTAGATCCTCTTTCAAGCTGACAGAGTGCGAGCAGAACCAGGCTCTCATTTTAACATGTGTTTAAAGGGTTTCACTTTGCTTAATGACTTTTTATATAATTCCTAAATGCATAATAATAAGTAAACACAGAATAATAATTGGCCCCAGTCAACCTGCACATGACACAGTCAGTATAGTATCAGAGTTGAGTTTGTTGACTTTCTACAAGGACAAGAACAAAAACCAGCGGTGCTTCTATTTTAGATTTCACTCAATCACATTTATAGTCCAGGATAAGATAAGTGTTCCCGACACGGGAAGAGCTGTGGGCATATCAGAGGTGACACCACAGGCCGTGTCCTTCCTCGGTCTCTGTCCTGTCCTGTGCTCTTGGATCGCAATTGGTCGATAAATCTGAGACTAAATGAATGCCACATTTAATAAATAACAAATTTTAGTTAATTTTTTGTGTTAAGCCATTATGCATGAGTTCGTAAAAATACATTTTAATTTTTTTGTATCCCATATAATATAATTTATGCTTTCTCCCTTTTTTTGTTTCACTCTGCAGCAGAGTAGAAAATGTCAGCAGATGCTTTCGGTGCCGGGGGCAGCGATGCTCAGCAAACCCTGCAGTCTTTCTGGCCGCGCGTCATGGAGGAGATCAGGAACCTCACTCCGGTATTTTCACTTAAATTTAGTTTGTTTTTATATGGCATTATAATAATCTTTCTCTCAGTTCCAGCTTTAATTTGTATTTGCTTTTTTGAAGAAGGACTTTCGTGTGCAGGAGCTGCCGCTTGCTCGAATCAAGAAAATCATGAAGCTGGATGAGGATGTCAAAGTAAGGCCTAAAAGATTACCTTATTAATTAGAATTTATGTTTGTTAACATTGAACATGTCTTGATTGAAATAGGTGAATTACAGGAAACAGCGCTAAATTGTGATTTTTAGGATTTGATTTAGCTTGATAACAAAGGTATAAAAAGAGAATACACGTAGCTCTCCCTCCTTCCACCGGGTGGGGCAATAAATACAGACTATAATAGAAATAAATACCTTAAGGGCAAAATTTAAATTATTATTGACATCTAGTCACAGGCTGGATGTAGGTGGTTCTCAGTCCAGGCCTGGAGTTTGAGTACCCTGCTCTTTAGAGAACAGCAAGGACTTTGTGACCTTTATGTGCTGCCATGTCAAGAGAAAGATCCACTTAGTTTAGCAACAGCTTAAAGTGTTAATGAGATGATGAGCTCACTCATGTATCAGGAGACGAAGCTCTTGTGTCCTCTCTGATACACAACAGTCAACAGCATGTGAATGTTGATGAATTCATTACATTTATAAAATGAGGAAATGACCTGTTCCTGGTTCAGTGTCACTCAGTCTTAAGCAGACGATACATGTTTACGCTGCCTTGCCTGGAAAAACAATTGACAAAATTATTCAGTCTGCTACGGCACATTGTCTTGGCACGTTGTGGTTTTCTTCCGACCAGTTGATTTGTTTTTAGCATCTTTTACAACGATGTGCAATGTTTATGTTAAATAGCCTGCGGGTATATTTAATCAAGTGTAACTCCATCTCCTGTATGTAGATGATCAGTGCAGAGGCTCCAGTCCTGTTTGCCAAGGCAGCTCAGATCTTCATCACAGAGCTCACACTCCGAGCCTGGATCCACACCGAGGACAACAAGAGACGCACACTGCAGGTCAGTTACTTGATCAAATCTCACTCTAAAGCAGTTAACACCCACTGACCTGTGAGATGTAGACATCTGTTTGTCTCTTTTGTCCTTTCTTGTTTATTTGTTTTGCGTAATGGTCCGCAGCCTTTTTTTCTTGTGTTTTTATGCTTATGAGAAAATATCCCTTCCTGCTTCACCCTCCACCCCAAAGACCTATCCCTCAGTTTAGCCTTTATGATTCAACACACGTTAAAAAAACACAGCCTGGCATCTGCTGGTGACCCACTTTTTCCGCTGTGCCATTTTGGCTGCTCTGTTGTCCCATAGTTGCATAAAATGGACTCTGGAATGATGCAATAGGAATGGGAAGAATTGCATTGATAACGCAGGTGGATCAGAGTGGGAAATCAGAGTTTGTCTCACCTGGATGTTGAGAGAAAAAAAAATGTATAGAACAGTACATGAAAGCCCTTAAGTCCACTTTATCCAGGCACATACCTGGTGTGTGTGTGTGTGTGTAGACTCTGGGCAACAGATTTAAATGACTTTTTGGCTGTGTACATTTTTTTTAAACTTGTTGTCATTCCAGGTTTTTTCATGACGTGTGAATATGTCTATTGTTAGTCTGTGGAGTTAAAACCGATGATTTCATGTTTATTACATTTATACAACAGATGGAGTGCTGGGAACTTGTGACGCCTCACCTAATGAATGTGTGATTTTGCCGATCCTTTTCCACATGTTCACTCACACACACATATATGCAGACAGCACCGAATCCTATTGTGAAGAGGACACGCAACTTGCGGTCACTATAGCAACGCTCATCAATAGAACAAGTGTAGATGTGACCTGGTGTTACCAGATATTAATCAAGCCTCTATAAATAGACTGTAGTGCAGGGAGGGCCACAATGGGGGTCCTGACAGCCAATATCCTGTGGAAAATTCCACAGAGACAACACACTGCTATAGATATAGGAAAGTCTATAGCATTCTTAGCATGTTGTATATAGCAGCAAGTTGGATTTATTAATCCATTAACATAGGTTAAAAAGTAGGTTGTTGACCCTGTCTGTAGTTTAAATTTTAAATCTGCCAGAGGGTTTTAGTAAACGGTTAAAGAGATATATTTATTTAATGTGATTTGAATTTTGAATAATCAAAATTCAAATGAAAAGATTCCACTTTAGTTTTTCTAGCAAATATCTGTCCCAGCGCTACAGTGACTTTATTATCAAGTTTAAAGTTTCCCCTGTAGGCACTGAGGTGTATTTTATATATTGAGATAGTGTAATTAAACCCTGACCTCAACGCATGACCTTTCCATTTGCAGAGGAATGACATCGCCATGGCAATAACAAAGTTTGACCAGTTCGACTTCCTGATCGACATCGTGCCCCGGGACGACCTGAAGCCTCCAAAACGTCAGGTAGGGCATGAAGAAAACTTCTAGATTAATATAAAAAAACCTTTTCTTTTTTTTTGTTTTTCGTGAGACAGTCTTCTTTTCATAGAGCAAAAGTCTTAAAGGTACTTAAAAGACTTTGACTTTTACTGTAAGTTTGATCTTGAATGTGACCCATGGTGAAGCTTGTGTTGCTCTGAGGCACTGCTGGCGACCTGGAGGGGCTGTAAACATCCTTGACTGGAAGCTGGAGTTCAGACATTGAGGGCTTTCAGTCGGATGTTTGCAGCCTCCTGTTGCCTCTGACAGCCAGCACTGAGGTCAGCGTGGCTACGAGTTGTATCAGTTAGCCGTTTCTACAGATACTGCGTCTTGACTTTAAGGCTCATTTTCATTTATACATCGGAGTGTCAGTAATAAAACAAAAGGGATTACAGTATCAGCCGTTGAAGAATCCCTCCTTCATTAGCTCATGTTGTCACCAGAGTGGAGACGCATTAGTGAAAGACGACACTGTCTGGGGACAGTGAAGGGTTACTTTATAAGTAATTACATATTTGAAGAAAAACAGCACTGTCTGATGAAGTTCTGTTCACACAGGATGTAGACGCATTACGTAATGGAAGAAATGATTTGTTTTTGTTTAAGTTGTCAAGTTGACCATCTCCAGACATGTAAACATCCTACACTCTCAGCTGTGTTGTCATGGAGCTGGGAGAGGGGTGTTTACGCTTCTGGTGATGGAGAAACGTCAAGATGGAGCAGTTCAGGTTCTAATCACTGTAATCACACAGAACAAATCTGCACATGAATAAAAAAATTCCACTATAACTTTTATCAGTGCATTCGTGGTATTTGCGTTGTTGCTAGTTCATCTTTAGAGCTTATTGAAAACATTCACTCCTGACTCATCAGCAGTGAAAACACACCAGTGTGTGTTCAGACCTGCAGTGTATGGTATTGACCCGTATGATACCTGTAATGGAGCTTACATCCAGATTACATTACTTCTCTCCAGCTGCAGTCCATCAGTTATTTATCAGAGCAGCTCTTCTCTACTGTTACATGGGCAAAAATAATTCATGGAGATGTAACAGAGCGATAGCCGTCCGTCCGCTCATGTGTGTGCGTCTGCATGCATTTGTTTTCATTTCTCACCTTCGTCCTCAGGAGGAGATGCGTCAGACAGTAGCTCCGGCCGAGCCGGTGCAGTACTACTTCACTTTGGCCCAGCAGCCCGGAACCGTGCAGGTGCAGGGAGCTCAACAAGGCCAGCAGCCCGGTGCGCAGACGGCCACGACCATCCAGCCGGGACAGATCATCATAGCGCAGCCTCAGCAGGGACAGGTACTTACTACTAAGACCTTGTTGTGAGAGGTCTCCACGGGGTTTATCACAAAAGCATTTTGGAGTACAAAGGACACGCACCGTGGTACAAAACAAGCTGCAAAATGAAACAGCACTGTCAAAGGCTTCTGACTGGGCTCAGTAAGCCTCTTTTTATTGAATTTGGTACAAAGTCCACCCTTGTAGAGGGAACAGTTGATCCAAACATATTTGGCCAAGAGCTCTTACCATCATATGTTTATATATATGTATGAGCCCACGTCCGTATTTTCATAAAAATGATTGGAGTTGTGTCTCTTTTTCTTATTCTGTTGGTACCTGTATATGTAGTTCTACTGTATGTAGATGTGTAGTTTATGGAATGATGGTGAATTTGGGAAGTAAGCATGGCCATATTTCATATACAGAAAATAATAGTAATGATCAACAAATCAAAAATAGGGGGAAAATACTTTTAGCCGCAATGACTCCCAGAAAGTGTGTACACACAGAAATCACATGAACATATATGCTTTTAGTATCAGATGTGTGTTTGAATATGAAGCTGATGTGAAGCTATAATAATAATAATAGGCCTGCAGCTGCCTTCTGCACACTATAAAACAGACATACTGTACATGCTGTGCCGTGTCTCGTCTGCACTACTGAGTGAATTCAGCAACCACTCCATCTGTACTATAGCTGTGTTGCTGGGCTGCTGTAGTGGTTGATGCTGCTTCAGCAGACTGGCTGTAGCTGAGCTGTCATACAGTCATGTAGACCCTGGCCTGAATCACCAGTCCTGCTGCTGCTGCTGTTGCTGTTGTTCCTGGAGTAGCCAGTGATGTTGCGATACAATACTTTCCTTAAATATACTAATTATAGCTGTTAAAAAAAGTTACAGAACAAGTCAGGGTACCACTTAAATTGATTAAAAAAATCCTTATCCATATTATCCACATTTATGTGTATAAAACATCGACTGTTTCCCATGCATTATAGTTTAAAATAAAGTCATTCTGGATTGACATGTAATAAGTACATGGAATAATTGTAATGTTATGATAATGAAGAATAATGTATTAACAAATATTACAATCGTTGTGTGCTACCTTTTAAATGTCACTAGTGGTCACTGTTGCACCAGTAATTTTCCTTGAGGTCACAACCTTTTTCATACACATTTTGTAAAAGCACAGTTCATGTGAATTTTTGCTGCTAATTTTATTTACTGCAATAAGAAAACTGCTTTAATATTTCTGTTTCATTTCATCCCAGCTTCCGCCTTTGTGTATCTCTAACATTAGTTTTATGTCATTAGCTGCTTAAGTCACCGTCTGCAGCAGTTGCATTTCAGGCTTTTGCTACATACACACTGCCCACGTGCTTTTCCTTTTTATTTGTTAAGTAGTTACTCCTGCTGCCCGTCTCATTGTGTGTCTTTCTTTCATTTTCTCATTCTATTCTGTGGGCCATCAGATGCTGCAAGGTGCCACCATGCAGCAGCTACAGCAAGTGCAGGTGCAATCACAGGGCACACCCATCACGGTAAACACGCATGCACACAAGCATTTGTATGTTCACTTACCTACACACACAGAGACCAGCAGTGGTTTTCTCAGTGCTGAAGTGACAGCTGACCACTGGCTCTGTCCTGCTCAGGTGACTGAGGTTTGCATGTGCGGCGACAACATGAGATCAGGTGGCCTCACCTGGATAGAGTGACAGACAGAATAGGAAATAAAGGTCCTTCAAACCTGCAGTATCACCATATGTGTGCATGTGTTATAAACACGGCTGCAGACTTTTATTGAACATTTAATACTTCAGAAAAATTGAGCTTCATGTCCCTGGGAATTTTGTGATTTCCTGTTTCTTTGCTTTGAGTTGTTCTCCAACCACAATCGTCTCACAATCTGGTGCTACATAAAAACTTATTTTTCCTTCCACATCTTTCTTCCTCTGTACATGTCTGTCTGTCAGAGCGCCCCCGTGGCCATGCAGGTGGGTGAAGGCCAACAGGTACAGATCGTCCAGGCAGCTCAGGGTCAGGCAACGGCAGCTCAAGCCCAGGGCCAAACCATGCAGGTCATGCAGCAGATCATCACCAATACTGGAGAGATCCAGCAAATTCCGGTAAGAATAGGCACTAAAATTAAAGACATATTGATGGCAATGACTGATACACATAAGTGTATTATTGTGTAAGTAAAAACTGATGAAGTACAGTATGACAAACTATATACAACGTCCAAAACTATCCATACTATTACTATCCTTTTTTTCTTAAAATGATTTTGTCTAAGGCAGAAAATATCAATGAACCATGCTTTAAAAATGTCGATTTCCTCAATCGCACTTTGTCTCCCTCTTGTGTTGGTCAGCTTCAATACATCCGTCTCGCCCAGCCCGTATCTGGAGCACAGGTGGTCCAAGGGCAGATTCAGACTCTTGCTAACACCCAGCAGGTAAGTGTGACGACTGTAAATATATATATATATATATATTCAATTTTAATAACAACATTAACATAACATATTGACTGTGATTTCAGATAACACAGGCAGAGGTACAACAAGGACAGTTTAACCAGTTCACCGATGGACAGGTAACAACTGCATTAAATATTCCCTGGCTCTTCAAGTAGTCACATTACAGTGATATTTTAATCTTCATCACATGACAGAATCCTGAGAACTGTAGTACAGTGGTGCCCCAGTTTTTTTGGCATGACAGCTGCTGTTGAAAGGACTTGGCTAAAATGATCTATCTACATTGAAAACATTATATATATGAAATATTTAAATTGAGCTCATCACTATCAACAACAGCAGTGATGGATTTAGCTGTGGTTTAGGTGATGCTGTAAAACCTAAACTTAAAGGACAATGAAGACATCACTGGCTTTCAACCCCACACACACAAAAGACAGATTTATACTGAAGTCATTTTTGCAGTCTATATCTGTCTCATCCGTTGTGTCCGTCCTTCTGTTCCACAGCAGTTGTATCAGATTCAGCAGGTAACAATGCCAGCAGGACAGGAGCTGACACAACCCATGTTCATTCAGTCCACCAACCAGACAGCTGATGCAACGGCCACACAGGTCAGCACTGACTGAGCCCCAGCCTGGAACTCTCACGTCACACGAACAACCCAAACACCAGCCCGTGTGACGCCACCACAAGGACGTCCTGATTTCTTTGATTTCAAGAAATGATCTCGTAGATGGCTCTTCTTTTTTGTATTTAAAAAAAAAAGTATACCAAATTTGGTACACTCAATGTGAAACCAAAGGTTCAGAATAACTCATTCACAATCACATGCTTAGCATAAATCTTCACATTCTTTCTTCTTCTTCTACCTGAACTGGAGAAAAAAAAAGATGCATTTAATGCCATGTTCAACCTGATCAGACAGAACTGTTTTAAAACAAAAACAACAAAACAGCGCGAGCTGTGGTAATTGGAAATAAAAGGGTGGTCTGTGTACGTTATCTGGTCAGGGCAAATGAAGCGACGTCGTGGTGTTTTTCATCTTCTCCCTTTGCTCCTGGTCATGATTTGTATCTTCTTGATAGTTTGTCATGTAAATGCTGAAAGAAATGAAAGTCATATACCTCAACATATACCCACCTCCTACAGTCACTTGGTGAGAACGTCTAAGGTTATTGATAATTTCATGTCTTCTGTTTTTTGTCCTACACAACAATGAATCATGTCTTTCCTTCTTGTAAGGGCTTCAACTTGTTCATATACAATGTGAATCTGATGGTGTGTTTGTGTTAAGTCACCTTTTTTCATTTTCTGAACACATATTTCTCTAATGCAGAGAAGATTTTTCTTCTTTTTTCCACCCTAATATTCTCAAACTTTCTGAGCTGCCTGAGTGATATTGTCGTCTTGTGCCCGGGTTTAAGTCTCATTAATAAACACTTGACTTCATATGGAGGAAAAACAACAAACACTTTTTATACACTTTTTTTTATTTGGTTTTGAATATGATGTATGACCTAATATCTTCCCCTGTGTTTTTTTTCTGTACAGTAATGATTGTTGTCAGTGTTCTTATTGTTTTTGCATGTACATTAGTTCCAACTGCCAGCATAACATGCAATAGATAGGTACAGTTTTTTAATTATTTTTTTCGATGTTCCTTTTGTAAACAAATTTCATTTGTGGAAGAAAAATAAAAAAAAAACACTTGTCCTAGACTTGGGTTTTAAAGTCTTCTGAATTTCTTGTTTCTTTGTCATTTTAGTTCATTGGTTTTATTCTCTGTCTTACAGTCTGCGCTCAGTGGTGATGAGCAAACACTTTATGTTTGACTTTATGGTGGTCTTTTTTTTTTTTTTTAATTTCTAATATCACTGAATGGGCCTGGCATCTACCTTGTGCATGTGGGTCTCAGGTAACCAATGTGAAGATGAAGAAAAGACCAATGTTTAAAATGGAGGACAAGGTCAAAGGACGCTGCCTTCAGTGACGCTCGAAACTGTCAACAGTAACCAATAAATTATAATTTTCTAACGGTGCAATAGATAAACTAAGCTGTTTTTAACAAATTTAAAGTTAGGTGTCATTAGTAGAAGTAAAAATAAGATTAAAAAAGGTTGGGATAAAAACAGTGGCTTTTTATAGGGTTAGAAAGTTCCAGTAACACTATTTTCATGAACGCCCCGCCCCCCGCCCCCTCTCACATATACACAGTTAATTAGCTGCGCCTCCTCAAGGCTAATACTCGGAGCCGTTGCTACGGCCGTTTTTTTTCAAACAAGGCAAAAAGTCAACAAAAACCTCCAGTTCTAAGTTTTACCAAAGTTTGTAAAATTAAACTAACTTTAAAATATTTTCATACATCAAATAAATGTTCGGCCAGAGGGAGAATAACGATATATGCCATTTTGTTCAACACAGGTCTTACACGACACCTTTACGATCCGGTCTGACGCTGTGTTTGGAATGTGTCAAGGTAAGCCATTTTGTTTTTGTCTTAAGTTTCGAGAATTAAGAACGACTTTTCCAGTTTTTCCCTTTCGTGCCTTAAGCAAAGTTTTTTGGTGCAGTTTGCCCAAACAACCACTGGAGAGCAGCACTACTCTGAAGGAGTGAATGCCACTGTCGCACTGTACGAGGGCACCTGATTTATTACAAAACACAGGTGCCCAATTGTTCACAAAGGGCATTGTTTAATGTGTATAGACGTGTCCAAAGTGCACAGTACCACAATTGTCTGGCAAAAATGTACAATCAATACCCACCTTCGCTGCACCCAAAGCAGACTCTATGAGCCACTAATCTTATTTCTGCTGTTCTCCTCAAGTGCTGGAAAAGCTTCATGTGCCACAAAGGGCAAGCAGTTAACAATAGAGTCACGAGTTGTTAGGCCTGAAAGTGCCCGGCTCCCACAGATCAGACTGCTCTCTTTATCCGACTTAAATCTTGAAAGGAAGAGAAGCCATTATGGCAGCAGAGAAAATTGGGCAGACAGAGATGCATGGTGTTCATAATGTTCCAAAGTCAGAGTTCACATTTCTCAAGCACCCCTTTGAAGATTGTTCCATCGCAGCTGTGGGAAAAAAAAGAATCCCCCCACAGGTGTAGTTGCAGAGACCAGTTGCTGCACTCACCTCTGGGTGAGCGTCAGCAGCCAAAGGGCCCCGTTCTTAATCCATTTAATCAGCAAAGAAATGCATTAGAGGCTGCAAAGTCATGGTGGGCTCCTTGTAATAAAAGCGACAGTGATTATGAAAGTGTTTCGGCTTAATTCAAGCAGGAAAAGGATTGTGTGGTGAGATTTTCTTGGTCAGATCAAGGCAACTTTAGCCACATGAACAAAGCCTGACTGATTTACCAACGACCCGAGGCATGTGATTGGCCCTTGAGCACTAAATCTCACTAAATTACCCAAAAAAATAGTTCCTGTTTTTGTATTGTGTTGAATCCAATATCAACGCCATAACAGTGAATGGTTTGACAGAGTGAATATAATGCAACATATGCGTAAATGTTTCTGTGTACATATTTATACATATAAATAAATCTATATATTTATGAATGTATCTATATGTGCATATATGTTTATAGGTATGTACACATGTTTATTTCTACCTGTCGCTACCTATTAACAGTATATTGCCTACTTTAAATATAGTATCATAAAAATATATATATATATATATATATATATTTTACATAGGCATCATTTTGTTAGTGCTCTCAAACAGATGTCTTTCATTAGCAGGCCAGTCTAAAGATGGAGTGCGTGTTCAGGGTTTTTATGGCTTGCGTGGTTCTGGGTTGTTTTTACGTTACAAAAGTGAGGTAGTGTCTGCTGTACAGTCTCCTCTCCACGCCCTCTCCACACTTGTCAGCAACAGGCAGCATGTTCCACGGAAACTCTGCTCCGTCACCTAAGGAGAAGTGCTACAAAGGCCCTTCACACTGCTCATGAATGAGCCACTGAGTGAGGCCTTCGACCAAATGACTGTAATTTCCTGCCTCCTTCTCTCTGAGCTGCGGCACGTTGTGCTTGACAGTTCTTTATTCACACTGCCGAAAGTCAAAGTGTCATGTTGGTGTCTGCCGCAGGGCTGCTCCTCATCAGTTGACATTTTTATGGAGTATTCATGATAGTTAGAGGGTCTCGTGCGGTCGGGGTTTGCTCTAAACCCGGGACTATTTGAAACAATGTCTAAATTTTATTCTTGCAAAGAATAAAACCAGACTGACGGAACAACATGTTGATGACCTTCAGGAAACGCTACATCAACAAGCGATCTGTCCTTGTCCTGTGTGATGCGAAATGTGAAAAGTATGCTGACCACAATTCATTAGAGAAACTAATGAAAAAGAGTGGTGTTTAGGCCTCAGTACTTTGTTTCACAGACGATCGATTGAAGTGACCCAGATCAGGGCCGTGTACCGTAGGATGGGCCTCCAATTCTTGGCATGCTAAAGGATTCTTATGGGTTTTTTCTATCAATTTTTTTGTTTAATTAAACAGCATGTTAAATGTCATATGTTCATATCTGTATAGATATTTTTTGTGATGCTTGTTTCTTGTTGTCTTAACCTGATAAGTCACAAGGACTGTCATCAGTCACAGTTATTAACTAGTGCATTTGGAGGATGACTTATTTATAGTCTGTCAGTTACAACCAGCCGTTTGAGGGCAACCTTATCCTGCGAGGTTTGTTTTTGTCTCTGGGTTTTGTCCTTTTTTTGTCCGTTTTTGTCATTGGGAGGAAATAAAGGCATCTGTGAGTGTGGTTTGAGAAACCCATTAAGGAGTAACCGTCTGAGTGAACAGAGGAAACACAAGGTTGGTGGGGGTCGTACAGAGTGAGTTTGCACTGTACTATATGTAGTGCGTGATTGCTGACGTGAGTATTTTTAAAGTTCCCCCTGAGTGGCTGTCCACTCCCGCAGCTCAGTGGGCTCTGTGGGGCGTGAGTGAATGCTTGGACCGAGGACTGCTGTGGAAAATCAGCAGGGATGAGAGGTGGGCTTGAAGAAAGCACAACAGCCGTCTCCTAACACTGGGCCCCCCTGTCGTCCACTCTGGGTCAACCCCAGTGTAATTCCACCCGCATGCAAAAGTTGTTGATGAGTGCCACAAAATCTGTTTATGTGAGTAAGAAGGCCCTTTATTTCCCTCTCTGGATGTACATTTGTGTGACGAATCCATGCGACCCGTGTTTATGTTTTACAGTCTCTGACCCTGCTCAGCTGTTGTGCGTTGTCACACAGCGGCATTTTGCCCCAAGGCCACGTTGGATACACTGTGTCTGCCTCTGAATGTTGTTGACCGGATGAAAGTAAGACCGGATGAAAGTAAGACTGGAGCAGGGGCTGCTACAGAGACAGAAGGGGGGGGGGGGGGGGGGGGGCCTGGTTGGGGGGGAATTTGGTTG